TTGTGAACTGGCTATTGGTCCCAAACTACTCAATCATCCTTTGGAAGATAAAAAAGGGAATGTGAGAATGCAGCCAATGTCTTGCTGTCGCCTAGCCTTGTTGTCTACAAATTTGTGGTATATCTGATCTCATAGGCATGCAGTAGAAACCACAATGATGTCAATGTATGTCATGACATCATCACACAAGTGATGCATTATGACCAATGACACACATGTTACCCCTTGCTTACATCTGCAGAACCCCATGTCTGATCTTCACTTACTTTTCAAGTTTAAATAACAGTGAGTTGCAAGGTATCAAGTCATACGTGTGTTAGCATCCAGAATTCTAGAATTACTTTAAGACCCATGCCCCTCTGTGAGAGCTGCATATCTAAATGGGTCAGTGTTTGGCCAGGACTTGGTCAAGTATAGAAATAAAAAATAAATTAAGTCAGAAAGATGGTAACTGAAGACACCTTAACTATACCAGCTCCCATCAACTGTTATTTCTTGTGCAAGATTTTATACCATTTGTGGAAAGTATATTTTAAATCATATTTTGATACAGACTTCCCTAACCTTATGCCCTCCCAAGACTGGAACTACAATGCCCATCAGCTCAAGCAGCGTGGCCAAATGTCAGGAGTAATAGGCATTGTGGTTCAACACATCTGGAAAGTAACCATTTAAGAAAGGCTGTTTTACCATATCTTTCATCATAGACACATGCTGCAGTTGCTTTGGGTAAATTAAAGGACATGATATATCTTAGAGACAGTGGAATATTGTTGTATCAGTTTTTGAAAGCAGATACAAAAGTTTTATTTCAAAGGTGTCATTGATTAGATTTGCATATTAATTAATTCTTCATTTTTTGCTGTTCCCATTCCCATTTGTTTTTCCATTGATCCAGTGTCAAATCCATTGATCTTGTGTCTGTAACTTTGATATTTTCTGTCTAAACTGCCAGAAATGTTCAGGCATTTAATTATATTCTCTCAGGGTAGCAAATGTGCTAAATCTCAATTGGATAGATCAAAGAACAAATTTAAATTTAAATATTAGCTGTCTTTAGTCCCAATCTTGGGGGCTTAGGGGTAGTGTTTTCACATACATTCCTGAGAGAGGTGGGCAAACCAGGACATCCGGGGGTGGGGGAGGTTAAAAAAAAGTCAAGATGACAATGACTATGCAATTGAAGTCCTAACCCATTTTTATATGCATCACGTGTACAAAGAACGTAAAATTGGAGTGGGGTTTCAATTGTGTGGTTGCAGTGTGCTTGACATTTTTTAGCCTCCCCCACCATGGAAGTCCCTGGACTAGAGCCAATCTCAGATCTTAAGATCAAAATCATTGCTGCCCCTACCCCCCCACAAGAGTTTGACTGAGAAAACGTCTTTGACTGAAAGTGAAGGATTTGCAAATCAAAATTACTTTTTCCAAGTTCCTTCATTTTAAGCAACACAGTTACAACAAATCTACGTGTTCCTGTTTAATCAATATCACCAGAAAATGGTTTTGGAAACAGTACAATTTTTACGCTGATGTCCATGCTTTATTCCATTTGACAACCATGTTGCTCCAGTTAGTGTGAAGAGTATGTTTCTGAACAAGCAATGAATTTGTCAATCAAATCTGCGAAAATCAAACCACACGCGCGCACCCCACCATGCAACTAGAGATTCAGACAAACGCATGAGTAACTTTATTGCCGATGATACTGTAATGCACATGTGATATGCAATAATTAGGGAGTGGCTCACTAAAAAAGTTTTCACTTTCACTGTGAAAAGTATTGCACAGTTGTGCTGAAGGTGGCTCAAGATGGATGGATGGATGGATGGATGGATGGATGGATGGATGGATGGATGGATGGATGATAGGCCGCAGTCATTCCAACTTGCATAGTCTTTCTCCTCTATTAGTCCGGTATCTGTTTATGTACCTTTTCACTTTTCCTCTCTTGTGTCTGCTCCTGGATTGAAGGCAGAGATCTGCATTTTCATTATCTCTAAAGGACTGTGAACTTAGCTGGCACTATTAGATGGTTCTAATCCTGCTAATCAGCACTTGCTGCTAAACGTTTTGAGCTTGCAGCACTAATTTATAGGAAAGTGAGATTTTCTGCCCCCCCAAAGGCACATATTTTCACTTGCTTAATACTTCTTGGTTCAACATTAATTGTTCTCTTCCTGCTGTATTTAATCTGGGAATGGCAGGCAGCTAACATGAACTTTGCAAATAATGGTACTTCTAGACAGTTGGTAGCATCTCACATGGATCTCTCTGCAGGAAAAGTGACAATGCATTAGAGCAGTGTTTCTCAACCTTGGCAGCTTGAATGCATGCTGGCTGGGGAATTCTGGGAGTTGAAGTCCACATATCTCCAAGTTGCCAAAGTGCAGAAACACTGCATTAGAAGGTTGTTTCATCCCTGAAGTTTCTATTCAGCAGCATGTTGTTACAAAGCTGCCAAGATTTCTTGGTCCTCAATAGAAATTATCACGGAGATAGAAGAATGACAGGCCAGTAGGATCTACTTTTTTTTCTCCTGAACTCCACCAACTGGAGCCATGCACAACATACCAGCCCAGGCAGATGTGCTTGTGCAAAAAATGAAGGAACCTTGCTAAGCCCAAAAGTTTGTGACACAATCCAGAGTCAAATTCACAGTTCCATTCAGGGAAAAACATATCCCCAGTTTTCTGCTAGGTGTTCTTTTTCAACTGACTTAGGAGCAAAAACGTAGCAGCAAAAAATTAGATGATTTCCACCTCTAACTCTTGGTGTGGGGGGGGGGATTTCTCTATTTTTACCCAGTGTATATCTTGTGTGGTATTTTTACACTGACCACCAGGAGGCAGGCACTACATGACCAGTTTCATCCTATTAAACATGGGTAGCCAGATGTTAGTCTGTGGGATTCAAACTCTCTACCGGGAATTGAACTCACGGGCCTTTGCACTTTAGAGAACTACGTACAGTGTGTTAGCTTTATGAAATATCCAGGTCCTGATGCTCAGGGGCTGCAGGAAGGAATATATGGAATCTATCAGCATGGTATATAGAGTCTATGTTCCCATAAGCTCTTAGAGCAGAGAAATATGGAAGTTGTATTATGTCATGCCTCTCTGTATGGGATTTGACATGGTTCCCACCCCCTCCCCCAGACAGTGGAGAGCCACATATCCTGCCAATCTGTTGAAGGTCATCCAGATTCAAACCACCTCACTAAATTAAAGCTGCTGTAAAAGACTTCTTTTTCAAGTTTCCTAAAGGTTTGTGCTTGGTTTCCATGTTGATAGCTCTTTTTCCCCACCCCGCTTTTTATTGACAGTCCTCTGAATTGTTGGATGCTGATTCTGAGTGTATCAGTATGATTCACCATTTAAAAATAAAACATTTCAAACAGTGAGGGTTGGGGACTAAGCCAAGGAGATGGCAATCAGAATAGCTCATACCCATTAACAGTTGGATGTTTGGCCCCATATCAAATAGTCAACTCTTCGCTCATGTTAGTTTTGGATGGAGAGACTCTGTTGGCTTTCCTCTTCCACATCATCCTTGCCCCTGCTCTGTGGAACTGGGCTGTATTTTATTCCTACCCTATTTCAAAACATGAAAAAAATGTGAAGATGCTTTTCCAAAGGTTTCAGATGTGGATGGCTCCAGACAGTGTCTATGATATGCATTCACATGGAAACACAATAACTGTCAAATTTATATAGCCGCCTATCTCACAAAACAAGTGACTCTGGGTAGCGTACAACAAAAGTAAAACAGTTAATAAATACCTAAAACAATAACATTATTATTATTATTAAAAACATTAAAAACTATTTTAAAAACTACAGGTAGTCCCCAAATTAAGAACAGACAACCCATAGTTAAGAACGGAGCCTATTGTAGCAAAATTTGATTCAATACACAATGATTCAAGTTAAATACACAATGGTTTGAGTTCATTACACAATACTACTTAT